TCTCTCATGGTTCGTCCACCCCTCCGATTTCCCCCGCTTCATTCCTCCCCTCCCGCTACCTTCTTCTTCTTTTTTTTTTTCTTAACATATCTTGCATTATTTGTCTCCGAGGTACAGATCTGAGATTCAACAGTCCTGCACAATTCACAGCGCTTAACTGCATGCGAAAGTTTTTGTGTGAACCTATGCTTCAGTTTCTCTCGTCTATACCCAAGAGTGGAATTGCTGGGTCACATGGTAATTCTATGTGTGACATTGTGAGAAACTGCCAGACTGTTTTCCAAAGTGGCTGCCCCATTTTATATTCCTACCAGTACTGTCTGGAACTTCTCATTTCTCTACATCCTCACCAATGCTTGTTACTCTCTGCTCTTGTTTTCCATTTCATTTATAACCATCCTAATGTTCGGAAGGTGGTATCTCCCGGTGGTTTTTATTTGCATTTCCCTGATGAGTAATGATGGTGAATATTTTTTGATGTGTTTGTCGACTGTGTGTATATCTTCTTTGAAGAAATGTTTCAGATGCTTTGCCCTTTTTTCAATTAAGTTATCTTTTTATTATTGATCCATAAGAGTTTACTTTTATATATTCTGGATACTAGTCCTATCATCAGATACATTCTTTGTAAATATTTTCTCCCATCTATGGGTTGTTTTTTCCCTGCCTCTATTTTTTTTGTAATTGAAATATAGTTGACACACTGACTCACATCAGTTTCAGTTGTACGACATAGTGATTCAACAGTCTTTTCCCTTCCTAGAATCCTTTAAAGCACAAAAGTTTTTAATTTATCTGTTTTTCTCTTTGTGCTTTTGGTGTCACATCTAAGAAACCATTGCTGGGAGGGGTGGCACCTGCTCAGCGGGGAGTCTTCTTCTCCCTCTCCCTCTGCCCCTTCCCACTGCTCTGTGCTCTCTCTCTCTCTCTCCCAAATAAGTGAATAAAATCTTAAAAAAGAAAAAGAAAGAAAGAAAGAAAGAAAGAGAAAGAAAAAAAGAAAGAAAAAGGAAGGAAGAAAGAAAGAAAGAAAGAAGAAAGAAAGAAAGAAAGAAAGAAAGAAAGAAAGAAAGAAAGAAAGAAAGAAAAGAAAGAAAAAGGAAGGAAGGAAGAAAGAAAGAAACCATTGCCAAATTCAAGGTCATGCAGAGTTAATACCTATGTTTTCTTCTAAAGAGTTTTATAGTTTTAGTTCTTATATTTGGGTCATTGAGCCATTTTGAGTTAATTTTTGTATATGGTGTGAGGTAGGGGTCCAAATTCATTCCTTAACATGTGGAGATCCAGCTATGCCAGCACCATTTGTTGAAAAGACTCTTTTTTCCCCACGGAATGATTTTGCCACCTCTATTAATTTTCCAGGGCTGCCTTATTAACAAAGTACCACAAATTAGGTAGCTTAAACAACAGAAATTTATTTTTGCACATATGTGAGGTCAAGATGCAAGTTCCTCTGGAGTGTTAGGAGAGAAGAATCTGTTCCAGGCCTCTCTCCTTGCCTTGTAGATCTTCTCACTGTGTCTTCACATCATCTTCCCTCTGTGCATTTCTGGGTGTCCAAATGTCCTCTTATAAGGACACCAGTCCTTATATTGGATTAGGGCCCACCCTAATGACCTCATGTTAACTTAATCCCATCTTTGAAGATGCTATCTCCAAATACAGTCACGTTCTGAGGTACTGGGGGTTAGGACTTCCATTTATAAATGGGGGGGGCACAATTCAGTTCCTAACAGCATCCTCAACAAAAAGTAGTTGGCCGGGGCACCTGAGTGGCTCAGTCGGTTAAGCATCTGCCTTCAGCTCAGGTCATGATCCCAGGGATCAAGCCCCACATCGGACTCCTTGCTCAGTGGAGAGCCTGCTTCTCCCTCTCCCTCTGCCCTTCCCCCTGCTTGTGCTCTCTCTCTTTCTGTCAAATAAATAAATAAAATCTTAAAAAAAAAAAAAGAATTGGCCATAAATGTGAATTAATGTTTTCAAGGTTCATTCGAATTATAGCATGTATCCGTGCTTCATCTCTTTTTATTGCCAAATAGTATTAACTGTAACAACTTTTAAGCATCCATCCAGCATCCCCTCTATAGGAGCCATGCCCTTGTGAACTGGGCCAACCCAGGTCACCCGGGTATGGAATCTGGGACCCCAAGTCCAGAGCGTCTGGGCAAACCAGGAGCAAGGGGACCCACGGGGGTTTGACTGTGAGCTCTGTCCTGTGACCTGTCCGGTTAGGTGAGCTACATGAACAACCAGCAGTACATGGTGGCCATCGTCTTGAGCGAGAAGCAATGCCAAGAACAACTCAAGGAGACTAACAAGAGCTGCAATGGTGAGTGGTCAGGGCAGTGGGGAGCCAGGGTGGTAGACTCCCTGCCCAGTCTCTTGGCAACCCCCAACCTTCCTGAGATGTATTATCGTGTCCCTGTAGCCTTGCTCCTCACGCTGAGCCAGAAGGCCAAGATGCTGGAGATGGAGGTGGCAAAGGAGAAGGAAGTGTGCACCAAAGACAAGGAGGGGCTGATGCTGAACAAGCGAGTGGTGGAGGAGCAGCTGATGGAGTGCAGCAAGGCCCGGGAGCAGCTGCAGCAGGAGCGACAGCTGGCTGAGGACCGCCTGCAGAAGGTGCAGGCCCTCTGCCTCCCGCTGGACAAGGACAAGTTTGAGACGGAGCTGCGCAACCTCTGGAGGGACTCCATTATCCCACGCACCCTGGACACGATGGGCTATAATCTGTACCATCCTCTAGGCGCGGAATTATCCTCCATCCGAAGAATCTGCGACCACATGCCCACCCTCATGGCCACCAAGGTGGAGGAGCTAGCCCGGAGCCTGCGGGCCAGCATAGAGCGCGTGGCCCGCGAGAACTCGGACATCCAGCGCCAGAAGCTAGAGGTCGAGAAGGGCCTGCGGGCCAGTCAGGAGGCCAAGGAGAAGGTGGAGAAGGAGGCCCAGGCCCGGGAGGCCAAGCTCCAGGCCGAATGCGCCCGGCAGACACAGCTAGCCCTGGAGGAGAAGGCAGCACTGCGGAAGGAGCGAGACAGCCTGGCGAAGGAGCTGGAGGAGAAGAAGCGGGAGGCAGAGCAGCTCAAAATGCAACTGGCCGTCAGCAACTCTGCCCTGGACACCTGCATCAAGGCCAAGGTGGGCTAGAGGGCCCTGGATTCAGGATGCATTGGGGTCCGGTCTGGGGGCCATGTTGGTGGTGATGTCTAATGGGTTTGAGGTGAGCTTCCCAGTCTAGGTCTGGTTAGTTAACTCACTTGAGAGTGTCACTGACATAGGATTGGGGTGGAGTTTGGAAGGACATGGAGAAAGGATTAAGGATTGGGATTGAGTTTAGGGTGGCTGGTGGGCCTCAAAATTGGTTCAGGGTGGGACGCCTGGGTGGCTCAGTCGGTTAGGCGTCTGCCTTCGGCTCAGGTCATGATCCCGAGGTCCTGGGATCGAGGCCTGCATCGGGCTCCTTGCTCAGCGGGGAGCCTGCTTCTCCCTCTGCCTGCCACTCCCCCTGCTTGTGCTCCCTCTCTCTCTCTGACAAATAAATAAATAAATAAAATCTTTACCAAAAAAAAAAAATTGGTTCAGTGTGAGGACGGAGGATTCATGGAGGGTTGGTGTCAGGGCTGGGATGTGTCTGAGTTGAAGGATCAGGGGCCATGGGTGGGGTTGGCAGTTAGACTGAAGTTTAAGGCTAGAGGAAGGCTTGATGTGGAGCAGAGCTTGTGTTTGGGTTAAAGTGAGTTCTTAGTGACCGCTGTGTTTAGAGTTGGTTTGAGTTAAAGTTAGGGTTCCATCAAAGATTACATTAGTCTTAGAATTGGGGTTGTGCTGAGTTTGGATTGTGGGGAGAGGTTGAAAGTTAGGTCAGGGGTCACATGCAGGGCAGCCTGGCAAGTCTAGCACTGGGTGTAAGATGTCAGTGGCTTGGATTCGGTTGCATGGAGGCACCAATCCTGGAGTTGAAGCTCAGGTGAGTGTAGGTGGCTGGTGGGTCTAGAGATGATTAGAGGTTTGGGGCCAAGGGTAGACTTAGGATTTCATGGGTATTAGGATTGGGATTGGTGTTGACCATGGGTTAGGAGTTGAAATTGGTTTGGGTTTAGGGTGGCTGACTGAGGGTTGAATTGGGTTGGCATCGGGATATATTTGAAATGAAAGATTGGGTGACCCTGAGTTAGGGTAGGGAGACCTGGGGAGGGGTGAGGGTCAGGGCTGGGTGCAGAGTAGAAACTGCACAGATGCTAATCTTGGGGTACAATTCTTCCATTTGAGGTAGAGGCTAGGGTTTAAGGTTGAGTTGGGCTGAGTGTGTATTGGGAAAAAGTTTATGGGTGGCGGTGGTGGAGACCAGGGCTGGGCTGGGGGGAGGGGGTTGGGGGTGCATTTTTCATAGCAGCCAGGTCTAAGGAATGGGTTGGGATCAGAGTTAAATGTAAAGTTATGGTCAGATCAGGTTTGTCATTAGGATTGGGTTTAGGTCAGGGTTTGATTCTAAGGAAAGTTCTGTTTTAGAACTGGCTTTGGATTTCAGGCTCAGGGTTGTTGGAGGGAAGGCAGTGGATTTACAGAGTGGGTCGGCTTCAGCCCAGAGTGGGGCCAGGTTCGGTGTTGGGTGGATGGACTCACTTGGGGTCATGGATTGGGATCGGGTTGGAACTAAGATTGTAGGGGAGACTGAGGTAGGCCACTGCAGGGTCTCTGGGGGGGCTTCCAAGGAAAGCCAGTCCTTGGAGTCCCCAGTTCTTTGAGGGCAGGTGCGTGCAGGTGATTGTACATCCATTAATGTGGGTTATTTCCCCGATATGTTTCCTCGCCCTGGAAGGAACTCAGACCCAGGTATCCAAGGACGTGGAGGAGCAGGAACCTCCCTGGCACTCTGGTTCAGGGGCCCTGGCTTCTGTCAACCTCCCTCCATCTTTCTTCCCACAGTCGCAGCCGATGCCTATACCAAGACCTGTGGGTCCTGCCCCCAACCCCCAGCCCATCGGTGAGTGACAGAAAACAGGGCCAGGAAGGGGTCTGGGGATTGTCTTTCTACTTCTTATCCCACCTCAGCCCTGCTATTGGGGCTGCCAGCCCACCCCTAGCCCAGGGTTGGGGCAGCTGGTTGGAGCTGACCCCTCCCTCTTGCCACAGACCCAGCTGGCCTGGAGGAGTTCAAGAGAAGGATCCTGGAGTCCCAGAGGCCCCCTGCAGGCAATGCTATAGCTCCACCCAGGTAAGGCACTGGGCAGACTGAGATGGTTCAGTCTCAGGGCTTCAGAGGAGGCTGGGAACAGGACTAGGAGTGGAGGGAGGCTCATCTCACACTTGCGGCTTCCTTAATTGAGTGCCTGCTGTAAACCAGGCCCTATGCTGGGTCCTGGGGACACAGTAGTGACCAAGACCCATGCAGGTCCGTTCATGAAACTTCCTGAGTAGGGGGTGAGAGAAACAATGAAGGAACCATGAAAAGAAAGACCAAGAGCCTACAGTTACTAGGTGCTTACTGTGAATTCAGCACGGTTGCAAGCACTTTGCAAGATCAACTCACTGAATCCTCACAACCCTAATCAGTGGGCAAGCCACTGTCATCACCCACCACTTTCCAGACCAGGAAAGTGAGGCACAGCGAAGGCGTGCGCTGTGCTCCAGGTAACACAGCTGGGGAGTGGCAGAGATGGGGCCTCGAACCCAGGCTCTTGGACTCCAGGCTTCCGTGCAAGAGAGGGCTTCCATGAGGAGGAGGCCTTTGAGCTGGAGGATGGGATTGAGCTGGTCTGGGAAAGGGCAGAAGGTACAGAGCTCCAGGTGACAAGAAGAGCCAGAGTATAGGCTCAGAGGCCAGACTGGGGTGGGATGTGGGGTGGATGGAACTGGGGAAGGGAGGAGGGAGAGCAGAGGCAGAGACCCTGGGCCTCTACCCCCACCCCTCTGAGCCTCTTTTTCTAACCTCTACAAAAACGGAGGTCTCTGAAATCAAGGGCATGGAAACTCTGCTAACTGTAAAGTGCTGTCCACAAGTGCCTAAAGCAAGGGGCTGGGGGTTGCAGCAGGCGCATCAAGGCACCCCTGTGCACACTCAGGTCAGGGCTCCGTGTCTGTACCCCGCCCCCGCCACCTCCCAGGGTACAGCCTGTGCATCACAGGGAAGGTGACTCAGGCCATTGCCCCGAGAACATCCTGTTCTCCCTCCCAGGTGGTGGCTCCGCTCCCCGTTCAGGACCACATCGCTGACCAAGGAGTCTGGGATGGGCATTGCCATTCGCAGTTTAGGACCCAGGGCTCCGGGAGACACTGGGGATTTTAAGTCAGATTCCGCTGACCCCACGCCTGTGCCTCCCATGGGCTCTGCCAGCAAGACTGTGGTCAACCTGGTCTATCTCAGCCTCGGGGTCTATTTCAGCCTGGGGACAAATAGACTTCCAGAGGGCTGTCTTCAAATCTCAGGGGGTCCTCCACATCCAGCTCCATTTCCTCTATGGCTCCTCTTACATAGCCCCTCTGACGGGGAGCTTACCTTCTCCCAGAACTTGTCCCTTCTCCTCTGGATGGCTCTGTCTGGGAGAAATCGCTTAGCCTCAGGCAGCCCCCCCGAGAGGGAAGCAAGAGGGTGGAGAGAAGACCCTGCTCCAAGCAAACAGTTTTCCTCTCTCTATTCTGGCCCAAAGCCATCATGGCAAGGAAGGAGGTTCTATTATTATCCCCACTTTTCAGAGGAGGAAACTGAGGCCCCAGGGAAGTGACCAACCTGGGGTCATGCGTCAGTGAGTCAGGGCCAGAGCCAGGCTCCCAGCCCAGACCCGTCCTAGCTGAGAAAGGGAAGCTCTTGACATTGTTTACCCCCAAGACATCCCTCTACAGAGAAAACAATGAGTACTTAAGGCAGGGCCCCTCCCGCTGCCGGGTCTCAGGAAGGGGCTCTGGCTCTCTGAGCTCCAGCCTTGATTCATCTTCCCCCTGAGAAAGGGGCCATCAGCTCTGGCTTGGAGTCCCAGCGAGGCCAGCCCCTTGGTGGGCTAGCCTAGGCAAACCGTAGACTGTGGTGTCACCAACCACATGGGAATTTTAGATGCCTCCGATCAGGGGCCAGGGCCAAGGTCCAGCATCAAATCACTCAGCCCCCCGATCGGGAGAGTCTCTTCCTTCTCCACTCTTATTCCTTCTGGGCCTTCACAAAGTCTCCGCGGTGCCAACACACTCCCACTTGCAGCTCTCCCTGAGATCCCAAAGCCAGGGTCAACCCCCAGCCCAGCATCAGCTGCGATCCCAAAGCCAGGGTCAACCCCGAGCCCAGCATCAGCTGCGATCCCAAAGCCAAGGCCAACCCCCAGCCCAGCATCAGCTACGATCCCAAAGCCAGGGCCAACCCCCAGCCCAGCATCAGCTGGATGGAAACACAACGTCCTGCTTTTTCTGTGGACATTTTTAAGTCATTTTCTCTTGATGGCAAGTGCACTAGTTTTCCTTTTTACCTGATAAGACTGTGTCCTTTGGGTATCCATTTATTTAAGTTAAACACACACGCACAATTGATGTGAAGACAAATAAGGAAATATTGGTTTCAGGGGAAGGTGGCTGGATAAGACAAAAGTTGTGATGCAGTTTTGGAATATAGGTGAGGTTGGGGGGCGGTGAGGTCCTGAGCCGACGGCCAAGAAAGAATTCTTGAGACGTCTTTGGTGCAAAATGGTGGTTTTATTAAAACACAGGGACAGGACCCGTGGGCAGAAAGAGCTACTGCACCGGGGTGGTGAGGGGTGGCTGATTATATACTTGGGAGTTGGGGGAGGTCAGGAAAAGGGAGGTTTCAAAAGGATTTTCATAAGCTAAAGAAGACCCTCAGGATCCTGGAGGCCTGGCTATTATCAGGCTAAGATTGGTGTTCCCTCTGGCAAAGCATTAACATTAAGAGAGTTGGGAGCTTCCTGGAAGAAGGTCCCACAGATCCCACCCAGGAGTTGGGGACCAGGGGGAGATTGCAGGGTGTCAGCTGGTGCTTTGTCCTCAGCTAGCCTTCTGCTCCCTCAGCAGTGGCAATGTGGAAGGTTGAAGATGGGGAGTTCGGCCCTGGCTCTGAGCCAGACACACAGCGAGTCTCATTCAAGTTCATTGCCATCACTTGTGATTCGGTTCGTTTATTCAACCCATGTGTCTTGAGCAGCTGCTGGGGGTTGAGGACACGAGGAGGAATAGGCAGAGAAGCCGGCGCCCTTGTGGGGCTCCCAGTCTAGTGGGGCAGACAGATGCTAAACCAGATGCGTGAGCCCCTTGGCGGTGGGCGAGGCAGAAAAGGGATGAGGCAGTGCAAGGTTAAAATTTTCTACAGGAGACCAGGCAGGCTTCTCTGCCCTGCATGAGGTTGATGCTGGGGCAGAGAACTGGAGGAGGTGAGGGAAGAGCCGTGGGGGTGGGGTGTCCCTGGAGGGTGTACCAGGCAGAGAGCACAGCCCATGCCAAGGCCCTGAGACAGGACCAGGCCTGGTGAGGAGGCTGGTGCAGCTCAGGCAGAGCAATCCGGGGGGTGAGTAGGAAGTGAAGGGGGCACGGGGGGTGCAGGTCAGGTAGGGCCTGTGGCTGCAGTGAGAACTTCGGGAGCTTTGGGACAGCGTGAGCAGGATAGGACATGACTGGCCTCAGGTGTTCAGGGGCACCCTCTAGTCGCTGTTGGGGGGTGAAGGTGGCAGCCAAAGACCAGGGCAAAGGCACCTGCACTGGTCCAGGCGTGTGATGTTGGGGGCTTAGGAGCCTCGGTCTCTGAGATATGGCCAGGGACCACCCCCCTTGCAGGCTGGTGAGCAGGAGTGGGTGAAGAATGTAGGCCAGGGCTGGCCAGGAGCCGTGACTCCTGGTCAGGCTGGAGCCGGAGGGGGGGGCAGGGGGGGGCAGAGCCAGCCAAGGAACGTGAAGCTGCTCGGCCCCAGGGAAGAGCCAGGGAAGGAAGGGAGTGGGCCAGCGGAAGCAGGACTTGGCTGAGGCCCCCTCCTCCCCGACCAGGAAACAGCCTCTGAGCCAACCCCTGACCCCTCACGAGAACCTCTGTTAGGCCAAGGAGGGGGAAGGGCAATCCAGACAGCAGGATGGCTCCTGCAAAGGCAGGGGGGAGGGGTGCAGTGAAGCGATACCTCCTGAAATTTTGAAGGACTTTGGCAGGGTTTGAGTTTCTGATGAGGAGTACTGGTAGGGACAGAGAGGGTGGAGCCTTGAATGCCGGGTAGAAAGGATCTGGCTTTGTGGGCAGGGCACTGGGGAGCCAAGGAGAGTGTGTGAGGAGGGGCAGGCTCCTGGGAAAAACCCTCCTGAGAATGGGTGAGGGGCTAGCCCCAGGGGCAGTTCTGTGGAGACACAGGAGGCCCTTTCGGAGGGGTGGGGGATACGACAGGGGCCTTGGGGCAAACTCCCAGGATCCCCAGGGCCCTGGAGACCCCAGATAAAAGGCTGCTGCAGAGGCCTGGAGCACAGAAGGTGGCCTCTCTGACCACTGTCTCTTTATCTGTAGACTGAGGAGGCCCACGTCCCAGTCCCACCCTCAACAAGTAGGAGTCTAATGGGAAGGCTGAACCCCAAAAGAGCCGAAGAGTCCTTGGAGGCAAGAAGGAGCCTGGGGTTGGGGGGCAGCAGGCCCAGGCAAGGTTTGTCCTTCCATCTGTCTGACTATTGTATTACCATGTCCTTCCTGCCCTAGCGGCTGAGGAGGCTCCAGGCCCTGAGGACCGAGGTGTGGCCCCGCCTGGCCAGTCTGCGGACTCGCAGCAGCGAGATGCCCACGGCGCAGCCTGCAGCCAGGGCCTCGGCCGGCCAAACGCCCGCGCACACGCCAGAGCGGCTGCCCTTGGCCTCCACACCACGCCCATCCCTCCCCACACCCCATGACGCCCTCTGATACTCTCACAGCCCCTCGCCCACAGACACGGCAGTGATGGCCCATCCGGACGCAGTGACGTCCACAGATGTAGCAGTGACGTCACACACACACCCGCGCGCGCACACACACACCTTCTGCCCAGCCCTTGCCCCATGTCGCACCCCTCCCAGGCGCTCACAGCATCCTCCCATCTGCACACCCCCGTGCTCCCGCCACAGCACCCTCCGATTTTCCCGTCTTCCGACTCCTCACCCCCAGTGTGCGGGGCCTAGGGGAAGTGGGAACGGGAAGCCATTAGCCTCCGCTCCCCCGCACCCCCCCACCCGGGCCGGAGAGTCTCCAAGCTCCCCTGCCAGGCCGCACCCGGACCCAGAGCAAATGTCCCCCACTGACCCCATCGTAGCCCGCGACCCCGCGACGGCAGCTGCCCCTTGTCCCTCTCCCCCCACACCCAGCCCTGCCTGTGGCCCATATAAATGTTAGTGACACTAAATAAATATCGAATCCTTTCCACGACTCCAGAGTGGTGATTTTTACTTTGAAAAGGCACCTCCTAGCCATGCCTGAGAAAAGACCCCGCAAGCTAGGATCCCTCCCCCTGTCCCCAGCCTGTCCCCAGTCCAGAAGAGTCTGGGGTGACACCAGCTTCCCTCAAAGCCCTGAAACTGCTTTTTAAATACCTGCTGTTCGGGGCGCCTGGGTGGCTCAGTTGTTAAGCGTCAGGGGCCTGCTTCTCCCTCTCCCTCTGCTTGCCACTCCCCCTGCTTATTCTCTCTCTCTCTCTCTCTACCACCACCCCCATTAAATAAATAAATAAAATCTTAAAAAAAGAAACAAAATACAGTTTCTTAAAAAACAGGTTATCCATCTGTGACTTTCATCTTCCTAAGATTTGCGAAGATTTCCCCCCAGGTACTGAGGCAGGACAGCTAACCCTCTCCAGAGTGGCTCCAGGAACAGTGTCACTAGAGTCTCAGGCCATTTGTTTTGTCTTGTTTTGTTTTGTGGCAAGATGGGATGTCAGAAAGGGCACCAGGGTCCAGTGGGAGTGCTTTAACACACTAATCACTAAATTCGTGGGGAAAACAGGAAAAAGTGCGTTAGAGGAATACAGGGAAATCTCATTGTACCCAGTAGACTGGAAAAAAAAAAAAGTTTAAAAAGCCATAATACCTACTGCTGGTGAAGATGTAGAGAAAGCGCATTTTTCTACAGGACTAGTAGAAATGCAAATCTCATCGTGGCCCTCTGGAAATTAGTTTGGTGATATTTCATTAAAGTAAAGATGTACAAACCCTTTGGCTCAGCAACCCCATTTCTGGGATTTTACCCCTGAGAAGTAAAAACTCCAGGAAACAAAGTGGATCAGTAGAAAAACGGCCTAAAAATTGTGGTCTAGAATCTCAGCTCAGAATGCCATTTGCTGCCTCCACCCCCCACCTCCACCCCCCATCTTCCCCACTGCCCCAGCCTGGATTCGCTCCCAGACCATTCTCCCGGGACCCTAGACGGGGAGGGGATGAGTCACAAGGAGCCAGGGCTGGCAACGCCACGCTTAAGGCAGGCTAGTCAGGAGGGACAAAGGAGCGATATTTCCTGGATACGGAAACCCCGGGTGAGAGACGCCTGCTGCAGGAAACACTCGGCTGGGGCCCCGCCAAGCCAGGGCAGAGGGGTCAGCCAGGCCAGGCCGCCCAGACAGGACAGTCTGGAGGCCCCAAGGAAGCGAAGACGTCCCTGACCCTCAGCCTACTGCCTGAGAAGCTGGAGACTGGGAGAGGATGATGACACCAGCCAGTCCCAGCAACCACAGGATGTCTGAGTTTTGGGTTCTGGAGCCAGACATCCCCGAATCCAAATCTTGACTCATTCGGTCTCAGCCTCCATTTTCTCATCTGAGAAATAATCGTTCTAAACTTTCTGGACACATGGGCACGGGTCTGACTTTTTGTTGGTCTCTCCCATCCAGAGCGTCCCAGGATATCATCCCTCCAGCTGGCCCCCACGCCCGGCCCTGCTGGTCCAGAGAGACTTTTCCATCATGGGATCTGACCATGTCCCTCTCTGGCTCACACACCCTCCATGGCTCCCCATTACCCTGGGAACAAAGTCCAGTTCCTCAGCTCTGTTGTGTCCCCCTGCCCCCCGCCGCTGCCACCCCCACTTCCAGTGCAGCTCTTACCTCCAGCTGCCCTGGACCTTTCATTCTCTGGCTAAAGACTATCTCTTAATTTGTGCTCTCAGACTAGAATGCCTTTTTCTTCTTCCTCCAAGTCCTGCCCCCAGATATCCCTCCTCCAGGCAGCCTTCTTGATTGCCCCAGGTATTGTCCTTGCTGCCTCTGGGGCAATCCTCAACTCCATCCCTCCCTTTATGCAGACCTGACCATGTAGCTCTGACTCCCCCAAGTTAGTGGCTCCTCCGGGGGGCAAGGCAGGGACTGGGTACCTGTCAGGGAGCAATTGGCAGACCACCTCCCTGACCTTGTGGCCCAGCCACTGGGTGAGGTTCTAACTCTTTAGGGATTTCCTGTGACCTCTATAAATAACCCCCATGGCTGCTTCCCACAAACCACCTCACCCTTCTTGGAAAAAAGGGACTGTAGCCAAGGACCTCAGTCCAGCTGTGTGCCAGGGCCCGGGGGAGGTGGGTGGGGCCCAGGCATCCTGCCCCAAGAGCGTCTCTCTCCCCACCCAGACCCTGCTCACCCCTCCTGGGAGCCCTCTGAACCCTCCTGATGTGGAGGACATCTGGACACACAGCCCCGCTAAACCTATGGTATTGCTTCTCTCCTCTGGGCCTGCTTGTATTCCCGAAAAATAGACATAATAGCAATATTCGTGGGCTCAGCTCACTGAGTGACCCTTTCCCTCCTGGAGCCCCCCATGCTGGGACAGCCCTTGCTGCTAAACAAGCAAACCAATCAATAGTGACATATTGCAATGAAGTCTGTGAAGACACAGGGTCAGGGGCCCCCTTTGGTTGGGTGGTGGGGGAATTCTAGATGCCTTCTGAAAACTCTCTTCATACCCTTTGTTGGCCCTGGCTACCTCCCAGCCTCTGCTCACCAGTGCCCTAAAACCTGAGAGCTTGTATGTTTGATCACTGGAAGTAGGACTCTTTTTCTGATTCTGGAAGGGATCCTGACCCTATTTAAGACTGTTTTTCTGCCTGTGGCAAGGGATTAACCGTTCACCTGCTGCCAGGTGGGCGTGGAAGCCTGGATCCCAGGGTCCTTAGAGGGCGAGAGGGTTGATGGGGGCTTCCAGGACCTTCTTTTGTTAGAGGAGGGCGCCCTCTGCTGGCTCATCACCAACATATCAGGCCCCTGTGAGTCTCAGAATCCAAGGCCTCACCACTAATTCAAAGGCACACATTCACCCCTATGTTCACAGCAGTATTATCTACAATAGCCAAATCATGGAAGCAGCCCAAGTGCCCGTCAGCAGACGAACGAAGAAGATGTGGTATATATACACAATAGAATATTATTCAGCCACAAAAAGAATGAAATCTTGCCATTTTTGCAATGACATGGATGGAGCTAGAGGGTATTATGCTAAGCGAAATAAGTCAGTCAGAGAAAGACAAATACCATATGATTTCACTCATATGTGGAATTTAAGAAACAAAACAAATGAGCAAAGGAAAAAAGAGAGAGAGAGAAACCAAGAAACAGACTTTTTTTTTTTAAGATTTTATTTATTTGTCAGAGAGAGAGAGCACAAGCAGGCGGAGGGGCAGAGGGAGAGGGAGAAGCAGACTCCCTGCTGAGCAAGGAACCCAATGCGGGACTCGATCCCAGGACCCCGGAATCATGACCTGAGCCAAAGGCAGTCGCTAAACCAACACACCCAGGCGTCCCCAAGAAACAGACTCAACTATAGAGAACAAACTGCTGGTTACCGGAGGGGAGGTGGGTGGGGGGATGGGTGAACCACGTGATGGGGATTAAGGGGTGCACTTGTCATGATGAGCACTGAGTAATGTATAGAAGTGTTGAATCACTATTTTGTGCATCTGAAACTATTATAACACTGTATGTTAACTATACTGGAATTAAAATAAAAAACTTAATGAAAGAAAGGGTCAAAAAAAAGAAAAAGTATCAAAGTCCTATCAATCAGATCCTCCCTCTCTTCCTCCAGCCATCTCCCTCCTCTCTCCCCCTCACTCACTGCTTCAGCCCTACCAACCACGTCCCTGTTCCTTGAACACACCATGACGCTCCCCCCTCAGGACCTTTGCACATGCTGTGCCCTCTGCCGGGGACACTTTCACCAGCCTCCTCCAACTGGTTTCCTTCTCACCATTTGACTTTCAGTACCAATGTCACCTCTGCAAGGCAGCCTGCCCTCATGTCCCTGAGCAGGCAGGTCTCCTCATCATAAGCTCACACAGCAGCCATGAGACTTCACTATAAGGAACTAGGTCTCTAACTTGGGCAGGGGCAGCACCTGTGACAATTAGTCCTCTTTGCGTTCCCAGCATCCTGCACTCGGCCTGTTGCACAGAAGGCCTGCAGCAAACTCAGACTAGAAGTCTGAACAAACCTATGTGCAAATCCCAAAGGTGGGGATGTCAAGCAACTAATTCTCTGAGCCTTAGTTTCCTCATCTGTAAAACTATAACAAAATACTCACTGTGCTGTGCTGTTATCAAAACCCAATAAAATGACATGTGCAATTCTAGCACATAGCAGGTGCTTGATAGTTACTGAGGGAATGAATGCATAAGCTTGGAGGGCATAGGGACCTGGGATCTCGCAGGTCTCTTTTAAAATATGAGGCAAATAAATAAATTAAAAAAATAAAAAATAAATAAAAATAAAATATAAGGGGCAAAGCTTCAAGATTAATACTAAAAAAGAGAATGATAACTTGCAGAGCAATAAACACACACTTTACAAAATACAAGACAAAACATATTTTATAGGTGTATCCACAAGTATGCAAAACAGCAGACAGAATTCTGGAAGGACACAAACTGTGACCCCAAGGGATGGGACGGGGGGAGATTTCCATGTTTAAGCATTTCTGAATCACCTGAATTTTTTTATATTCCTTTAGTATTTGCAAAATAAATTAAAAACCGCAAAACAAAGATCCCTGAGGCCCTCCCACCCCTATCACAACCGTCCACTCCTACTCCCCCAGCATCGGAACCCGAAGGGACCTCCGTTGAGCTCCACTCCAGGGCTGGAACCCCTAGCATGTCCCTGCCAGGGAACTAAGCTACAGCCAGCAACAGGGAGCTCACCACCTCTGAAGGTGGCACTTTGCTTCAGCGTCCTGGGGCCAACTTCTTGCCCCAGGGGATGAGATTCTCACTCGGCCTAAGCTATTCCCACATGCCTCAGGGCTTCTGGCCCCTCCCCCCCAGCCTGGCTGGGAGCTTCAGTGGTCCCCTCACTTGCCCACGCAGAAGTCCCGGAAGATGATGTCCAAGACCTCCTCAGTGCCGCCTCCGCCTGTGATGCGGCCCAGGTGGCCCCGGGCGAGTCGCAGCGCCTCAGCAGCCAGGGCTAGGTCTTTTGTCTGCTTGTAGTGGCGGAGGGCATCCAGGCAGCCCTGGAGATGATGCTGGTGTCTTGCACGCGTCAGAAGTGGTGGGCCTGTGGACGGGTCCCCACACCTGCAAGGGACAAAGGATGCGGTCTTTCCCAACTTTCACAACTACCATTGGAAGGGGGATGATCACTTGCATTTTGTGGACCCAGAAAATGAGCCTGGGGGGCGGGTACGTGTCTAAAGCCAGTGGCTCTGCCCTGACTTGAACTTGGGTTGAGGCAGGCTGCGGAACGGGGACGGGCGGAGGCGGGGCGGGGGAGCCGCTCACACTTCAGCCAGCTCCTTCCTCAACGCCTCCAGGAGGCCATCCAAACCCTCTCCGGTCAAGCAGGACAGCAGCAGGTGCGGGGGCAGGTCGGGCCTGGGGTCTGGGCCCCCTGGAGGCAGCAAGTCCGATTTGTTCAGCACCAGCAGGAGGCGCCGGCTGTTCTCACTGGGGCTCCCAGCGCCTGGGGGGGCGACAACGGTATCCAGGAAGTTGCAGCTGGACGGAGAGCCCAGGTCAGAAGCATCCAGCACCGCCAGAATGAGGTCAGCCTGCTCCAGCCTGGGGGAACAGGGAGAACCAACCAAGAAGTAACGCCGGGGAGTTGAGTAATTAAGGGCACCTGGGGGGGGAGGTGGCAGAGCAAGAGGGGCGGGGCATGGCATGTGGGGGCGGGGCGGGGCAGGAACAGAGGCTGAATTCACACGGCGGCTCTCCCCACATCAGAGCCCCCACCCAAGAGACCTTAGCAGCCTTTCCTGATTCGGGAGGGACACAAAATAAAGGCAGCAAGGAGAAATGGAAGTGGAAGGGCTCTGTCTCCCCCTCTCACCACCCTACCAGCCTACCTCTCGCGGGCGCGCCGCACGCCCTCCTGCTCCACCGGCCCCACGGCCTCGCGCAAGCCCGCCGTGTCGCTCAGCAGCGCCGGGAACCCGGCCAGGTCCACGGGGGTCTCCAGCACGTCGCGGGTGGTCCCCGGCTCCGGGGACACTATGGACACAGGCTTCCGGCCTGGGATGGAATGGGGGGTGGGGGTTATCGCGAAGAGGGAGGGGTGGAGGCCGTAGAGCCCCTCCCCCAGGATCCACCTCCCGGCTCCTCCCCCACACCTGAACAGCTCCCCAGCTCCCGGCCGCGCCCCCGGCACTATGCCCCGCCTCCCACGCACTGAGTACGTTCACCAGGCTGCTCTTGCCAGCGTTGGGGGGTCCTGCGACCACTACGTGCGCTCCTGAGCGAAGCCTCTGCCCGCGCCTGGCATCTCGAAGATGTGCGCTCAGTGCCAGCTCCAGCTCCCGCACTTGGCTGTCAGCTGTGGATGGAAGAAAGCAGAGGGGTTGGGAGTGAGGGGGCCTCCAAGGGCTACGATGCCAGGTGTCCCCAACCGCTAGGAGGACCCACCTTGCTCCAGGACGCCCTCCTCCAGGTTGTCATCCTCACCAAAGTCGATATAGGCCTCCACGTGAGCCAGAGCCTGGTGGGGGAGGGGGACGGAGGTGGTGATGTGGTAACCCAGGAACCCCCCCCCAAAGGGCCCAGGTCAAGCCTGACCCAAGGGACCAGATTGGAGGCTCATGCACAGGAAGCTCTCACACACAGAATGGGCAGGGGGGTCTCTGAGGCAGGGAATGGGCGAAGAGGGGGCTTGCCTTAGTGAGAGTCTTGGCCCAGCCATGGCAGAGGTGGCCCAGTTCCCCGTCCAGCTGCCTCAGCGCCTGCCGCCGCTGCGCCTCGGTTTCTGCATGAATTAGATCCGCTAGCCCCTCCACCTCGGTCAGGCTCAGCTTCCCGTGAGCGAATGCCCGCCTGGTGAACTCACCAGCCTCAGCCGGCCGCAGCCCTGGCACACTGCCTGCGGGAAGGTAGTGGATCCTGAGCTCCCTGGCCCCCACCCAGATCCACTGGCAGAGCCAGACTTCGAACCCACGGCTGCAGACTCACCCAGGGCCTGCAGGACGCCACTCACCACCGCCGGGCCTCCGTGCACGTGGAACTCCGCGCAGTCCTCACCCGTGAAACTTTGGGGACCTAGTGTGGCGAGATGGGAGTCGAGGAGAGTACGACTAGGCAAACGCCTTGGGTGGGGGCTGGGAAACTGGGTCATGAGAGCTACAGCAGGTTCGGGATCTGGAACCCCTCACCTGGGAACCAGAGCACCAGCGCGTGGTCCAACGGCTCCCCGGAACGGGGGTGGCTGAGCAGGCGCAGGCAGGCGCTGCGAGCCGGGGGCAAGTCCCGGGGCGCCGTGAGACTCCGGAGGGCGTGGCCGCTGGAAGGACCGCTGGTCCGGATCACCGCGATGCCGCAGCGGCCTTGGCCGGAGCTCAGCGCGAAGATAGTGGCCCCGGAACCGGGGGCCGGGGCGCCGCTGCCCTGGCGCGTGCACGATCTGGGACTGGAGAGAAGAATCAGTGCCTCTGGGAGGCTCTGTGGCTGAGTGGCAGGTGGATAGGGCGCTCGATGTTCGGAAGATGCCCCAGGTGGAGGCTCTGAGGCTGGGGGGTGGGCAGATTGGAGCGTCTGAGGCCAGAGGGTGACCCGATTGAGGTCTCTGAGAGCAGAAGTTGACCCAGATGTGGGCTCTGCGGCAGGGGGATGAACGGATTGGGGCTTGGGAAAATGTGAAAGGTGGTTCTGCCCCAGGGAACTGGGACCCAGATCCCAGGGAGAGGGTTTGGAGCCCAAGCAGCACCCCACGCTGTCACACCCGTTTCCCGTATCGCCCCACCTGCGAGGCCCACGTGCGGCCCGAGCTACTAGGGTCCACAACACCCGCCACATGGGTTCACAACCGGCGACCCGCCTACCCGCTCTGCCTGGGTGGCTTCTAGTCCTGACAGGAGGCTCCACCCACTCCGCGGCGTGACTGGTAAAGTGCTCCACGATTCTCGATCATCATTGGGCCCCTTAGGAGACTCACTGAAGATCTTCGTTTCTATTGGCTAGTGTCAGGGCAAGAGGCGGGGAAGGGGCTGGACGCGGGGGTGCAGCGAAATGGCGTTCCCCCGGCAACATCAGACCGAATTTTTAGGATCCTAGAACCGCGGGTATCCCAGACACCGGAAATGAAGGGTGGGAGGAAGAACGAGGCTTCGCCCAGGGCGGTAGGATTTACACCGAGGCGAGGGTTCCAGCCCCGTATTTTCCATCTGGCCACCCCGTGGCTTTAGGCGAAGCAAGAGCATCTCAGGAGCGGAGAGGGATGAGTTCCGGGGAACCCAAGCCCTGGTCCTAGTAAAATCTCGTCCAAATTTCTGGGAAGATTCCTACCTGTGTTTCCAGAACTCTCCAAGTTTCTCGCTCCTCCCCTAGCTTTCCCTCCCGCCGTTCCTTCCTCCTCGGATTCCCTTCTTCATTTGACAAACATCCTCAGGACCTAGCTCCAAGGTCCCCCTCCGACAGGACACCTTTCTGGAATCCCCAGCACAGCCCTCTCTGCCTTCTGGGCTTTCCTGGCCCAGGCCTGCTCCTGCAGAGCTAAGTGTCCGGTCTGTGTCTGGCTCCCCGAAAGCCAGAAAGGGGAGTCTCGGGGATTACTTTCAGGTGAACCCAGGACAGCGCAGAATAGCGGAATATAAACGCTGATGGTGGAATTCCAGGCACTGGCTGGGCGGGGTCTCCACGGGCGCTTTCGCACGGACAATTCTCTGGTTCTTGGACGGAGCGGGCGGGCGACGCACTTGCACTTGGGAAGACTCTGTCGGACCCGCTAGAGTTCTAATTCCTGCCTCGACCCGCTTAACTTTTTCATTTGTAAAAGAGTGACAAACGCGGACACTCGCCTTCTCCGAGTTGTCCCATCTGTCATAAGTATACATCAAGTGCCTACTGTGTGGGCTAAGAACCAGAAGGGGCCCCTGCCCTCTCTGGGCTCTCAGTCTAACAGAAAAGACTACTCAGGACGATCAGGGTCCTGGGTGCCGATAAAATACAGAACGCCCAGTTAAATGTGAATTTCAGATAAACAATAAATAAGGTTTTGGTATAACTATGTACCACGTAATATTTGGGACATACTAAAAATGTATTCGTTTGTCTGAAATTCTTTCATACAGTGGGAGGACTGTATGTTTATTTGCTAAACTTGGCAGCTCTATCGGGTGCTCTCTGAGGAGGTTACCTCCTTAGAGGCGCAGGGGTTAACTGGACGGGAGGGCGTGAGGAGTGCCTTAAGTAGTTGACTGGCACATGCTAAGGCCCCGAGGCAGGACTTGCTGTAACTATTAATTCGTATTCTAGCTGTGAAGTTACTGGTACCTGGAATCTCCCCCAACCAGGCCCGCCCCCTCCCACGTCCTGCCGTGGTCACATCACGCCCAACTCAAGATTCCAAACCGCGCCCTTGCAGATGGGGAAACCAAGGCTCTGAGGCGGAGAATCCAGGCCCGGGACGGGCGGGGACGAGACCCAGAATTCGATGCGGGCGGGGACACATCCTCGGTGAATGCATCTTCGGTGCGGGCGGAGATGAGCACCAGAAAGCGAAGTGGGCGGGCGAGAACGAAATCCAGAAACAACACGGGCGGAGTCGAGAACCCAAGAGCGACATGCGCGGGGACGAGAAGGAGAATCGAGGTTCCGCGCGGGCGGAGACGAGAAGCAGCGCTCGGGCACGCGGGGACGGCGGCCGGCGCGGGCGGGCGCGGCCTTTGTCTCCACCTCCAGCGCGCTCCGCGGCTGCACCGGCCGGATGAGCCCGGGGCCCCCCGGCGCTCGGGCCGCCCGCAGCCCCTGACCTGACCTGCCCTCGCCATGGCCGAAGCCACCTCCAGCGCCGGGGGCACGTCCCTGGAGGGCGAGCGTGGCAAGAGGCCCCCGCCTGAGGGCGAGCCTGCAGCCCCGGCGTCTGGAGTTCTGGGTATGTGTGCGGCGGCTGGATCTGACAGGGTTGCAGGTGCCTGTGGTGCGCGCGGCGGCCGGACGGGGAGTGGGATTGGGGTCAGCCGTCCCGGGCCTGGAGTCCAGTCGACGGGCCGGCTTGTCCCGGCACTGCGGCTGCGGCGGGGCCAGCGCGGCTGGGACGGTACAGGGGGCGGGGGTCCCAGCGCAGAGACTCGGACACGCCCCTCCGAGAGCCCCAGCCCGGGGCTGAGCTCAGTCACCCCTTTGGGTTACCGGATCGCAGCCCAGCAGGGATGCGCTTGAGAGCCTCCTCGCAGAGGATACGGAATCACGGTCCTGGGTTCGAATCCCAGCTCGCCTGTGTGACCTTGCGTGCGTGACTTAAACGCCCTGGTCCTCAGTTTCCTCACCTGTGAAATGGGGGTAAGAACCGCACCCAGCTATGAGGACGCGTTGACATAATGTGGTGAAGCGCTCAGGGCTGCTAGTGAGCGCCCCATCGATTGTGGTTTTGGAGGCGGAGCTGGGCCTCAAGAATGAGTAAGATTTGTAAGGGAGGACCTGGGGGAAGGGCATTCCTGGAGGAGGGCCTGGCTGGTGCAAGGACGAGGAGGGAAGGAAATGAGCCGAGGCCAAAGCTTGCAGGTCCCTGGATGCCAGACTGAGTGCAGAAGAGCCGTGGCCAGTGTGCAAGCAGGGGCTAGGGCTGGAGGCACTCAACTGGAGGCTGGGGTCCTGGTCTGGGAGTGGCCTGACCTGGGCCCTGCCCTGCCTGCCCCCTAGATAAGCTTTTTGGAAAGCGGCTTCTGCAGGCTGGTCGCTACCTGGTGTCTCACAAGGCGTGGATGAAGACAGTGCCCACGGAGAACTGCGACGTGCTGATGACCTTTCCAGGTACCTGTGCCCGCCGCCTGCCCGGTGCCCAGATGGGCTCCCCTGCGCTGGGCTCCCCTGAGTAGGAGTCTGTAAGAGGCCTCGGACCCCTTGTGGCAAGAGCCATCAGTCCCTGTGCCCCTTGGCAGACACGACTGATGACCACACGCTGCTATGGCTGCTGAACCACATCCGCGTGGGCATCCCTGAGCTCATCGTGCAAGTCCGCCACCACCGCCACACGCGTGCCTATGCCTTCTTCGTCACCGCCACGTATGAGAGGCGAGTCTCTGTCCCTGGCCTCTCGCTGACCCTGCTACCCAGCTCCCCACCCTTCCAAGCACCAACTGTGAGGTTTAGCGCCCTGCATTTGTCCCAGGTGGCCGCCAGGTACACCAACCCTAGCTCCAGGACGGTGAGCCAGGGTCTCCCCATGACCCCACCTCCGTGTCTTCCTGGCAGCCTACTTCGAGGAGCCGACGAGCTGGGTTTGCGCAAAGCGGTGAAGGCCGAGTTTGGCGGGGGCACCCGCGGCTTCTCTTGCGAGGAGGACTTCATCTACGAGAATGTGGAGAGTGAGCTGCGCTTCTTCACCTCCCAGGTGCGGCCAGCTCTGGCTCCCAGTGCGCAGCCCTAGCCCTTGGGCTGCTCTTTCCTGTGCTCAAGCCCTGCCCTGTCCCCCGCAGGAACGCCAGAGCATCATCCGCTTTTGGCTGCAGAACCTACGCGCCAAGCAGGGCGAGGCGCTGCACAATGTGCGCTTCCTGGAGGACCAGCCAATCAGTAAGCAGGCGGGACCGACTTCCAATCACACGTGGGGAGTTGGGTGGGGCTCTTAGAATACAGCCTATCAATGCGAGAAGGTGGGGCCTAGAGACAACCGACCAAAAAAGCTAGTGAAGAGTTGGGTGGGGCCTAGAGACATCAATGGTGTGGCGGGGTGTGGCCCTAGCATAGGGGTAGGGTTTACTCCCTGGGAGGCATTTCCAAGAGACACGGTTCTCTGGGTCTGGGATAAGGTGGGGGCAGGACCATGGACAGCACTCCATGCACTGTGTGGTGAGGCCCTGGGCCTCAGTTTCCTCTCCAAGAGACCAGCTGCTCGAAGTTCACCTTCTGACGTCGGCTTTGCACCATTCCTCAGACCTTCGGAGCAGTGATCTGAGGCCACATGGCTTTATTTAAAAACAGGGTTCCACACTGCGCCCCCACCTGCCTGCTTCTTCACCTCCCAAATTCTGAAGGAGAGCCAGATATTCTGTCCACTCAGAACTCCTCCCCTGGGAAGAGCCTCTGAAGATTTAAAAGCAGGGAAAAACTGTGACTTGGGTTTCGGGTGGGGCGGTGGGGAGGTGGTGGGACTGGCCAGGCCAGGCATAGGCAGAAGGGTGGGGCTCATCCGCTCTTGTCCCCCAACAGTCCCTGAGCTGGCGGCCCGCGGGATCATCCAGCAGGTGTTCCCGGTCCACGAGCAGCGCATCCTGAACCGCCTCATGAAGTCATGGGTGCAAGCTGTGTGTGAAAACCAGCCTCTAGGTGTGGCCCCAGGTGGGGTGTGTGCGGGAGTCTCAGGAAGCGGGCAGGGCTGACCGGGACACCCCTGTGCTCCTGGCAGATGAGATCTGTGACTACTTTGGAGTGAAGATTGCCATGTACTTTGCCTGGCTGGGCTTCTACACATCAGCGATGGTATACCCAGCTGTCTTTGGCTCTGTCCTGTACACATTTACGGAGGCTGATCAGGTGCTGGGAGTGGGCTGGGCTGGGGCTGGAGTGCCTGAGACACCCTCCTCCCTGGGCCAACCTGGCTAACAGCTCAGCCTTCTGCCATCCCCAGACAAGCCGGGATGTATCGTGTGTGGTTTTTGCCCTCTTCAATGTGGTCTGGTCAACCCTGTTCTTGGAGGAGTGGAAACGGAGGGGGGCAGAGCTGGCCTACAAATGGGGGACGCTGGACTCACCTGGGGAAGCTGTGGAAGAACCGCGACCCCAGTTCAGGGTCAGTTGGGGGTGTCTGAGTCCAAGGACTCCAAGAATGAGAGGGGGAGGTGGGGGGGGTTACTGCAGGGGCAAAGACAAGGTGTGAAATAGGGCTGCAGCATCAGAAAGGGTATGCCAGGTGCGGGGCTCTGCATGCTCCGAAGGAGCGGCGTGGGAAATTGCATTTGAGGGACTGGGAAAGGTAGACTAGGTGGGGGCACCGCAAAAGCAAAGGCGTGATGGAGGGAAATTGAATTCTGAGGTCTTGGGAAAGGTGTGGGGGGGGCAGGGGCAGCCCCTCCGGCCTCATGCTGAGCCCCACCCTCTGCCAGGGTATCCGGCGCATCAGCCCTGTGACGCAGGCTGAGGAGTTCTACTACCCGCCCTGGAAGCGGCTGCTCTTCCAGCTGCTTGTGAGCCTCCCCTTGTGCCTCACGTGCCTGGCCTGCGTGTTTCTGCTCATGCTTGGCTGCTTCCAGCTGCAGGTGACCTCCGGCCCCTACCCCCGGCCTTGGCCCTGACCTGGCCACTCCCGGCCCAGGTCCACTCCGGCCTGAGCCCAGATGCCAGGATGACCTGTGAACCCCCTGCCCCTGCAGGAGCTGGTGCTGAGCGTGAAAGGGCTGCCCCGTCTTGCCCGCTTCCTGCCCAAGGTAGTGCTGGCTTTGCTGGTCAGCGCGAGTGCCGAGGGCTATAAGAAGCTCGCCATCTGGCTCAACGACATGGGTACGCCCTGCAAGGGGAGGTCCTGTTGCCCTGGGGAGGAAGGTCCCTGCTGCCCTTCAGGGCCCGCGCTGCCTTCAGGGGGCCTGGGCCACCTCCTCACTCACCCCCTTGGCCCCCAGAGAATTACCGGCTGGAGAGCGCCTATGAGAAGCACCTCATCATCAAAGTCGTCCTGGTGAGTGGGGGGCCAGCAGGTGGGCAGTGAGGACTCTGCATGGGGCACAGGAGGAGCTCCTGGGGACCGGGCAGCAGAGGGATTGCCCCCCTGCTTCCTTCCCACAGTTCCAATTTGTCAATTCCTACCTGAGTCTCTTCTACATCGGCTTCTACCTCAAAGACATGGAGCGCTTGAAAGAGGTGAGATCCCAGCCCAAGGCAGTGCCCCTCAGTGGTGGCCAGTGGGGGGCCGGACTTGGCCCAAGGGGTCCACGGGCTCTCCAGCCCCTCCCCCCCGTCCTCCATCCTTCTCTCTCTGTCCGTCCGTCCGTCCGTGTGTCCTCTCTCTGCCTGTCGCCCCCCCATCTGTCCGTCCACCTGTCCGTCGGTCCCTCCACAGCTCCTGCTCGTCCTGTCCCTGTCCCAGAGCCTCGAGCGGCAGCTTCGGGCGGTGCTGGTTCCGCTCGCGGCCCTGCGGTTCCACCTGCTCCTCCTCTCCCTCCGGGGCCTCCTGCTCATGGCCCGGGCCAAAGTAGGGGCAGATGGCGAGCCCGCAGGACCTCTCCAGGGCGGGCAGTGTGGCTGTGCTTGGGGCCTCACGCTGCCTGAGCTGAGGGTGCATGTTCCAAGGGGCCGGGGCTCTGCTGATGGGGTGCAGACGGCAGGGGCCTCCTGAGGCCCTGGGCCCCAGCTGAGCTCCCGGGCAGTGCTGCAAGCAGGGGGACCCTGAGCCACAGCAGGGTGGAAACATGCGTTGCAACCCCAGGAGGTTGACTCAGAGCACTGTGGCCTGCCGGGCTATGGTTTGTGGCAGAGGAATGGTGGGAGAGGCTGCAGAGGCTGAGTGCTGGGGCCTCCATGTCCCGGGACATCATTACAAGGGGCGGAGTCAGCAGTTAGGTTCAGGGCATGTGTCTGGAAACTTGCTCCTGGAGGGCGGGTCCCCAGTCCCAGAAGCCTGGCCCGGTGCCCCGGGCTCTGCCCGCGCCCCACGTGGCCTCTCTCCTCCCCCTTCCTGCCCCCAGATGCTGGCCACTCTGCTGATCACCCGCCAGTTCCTCCAGAACGTGCGCGAGGTCTTGCAGCCGCATTTGTACCGGCGGCTGGGCCGTGGCGAGCTCAGCCTGCAGGCAGCCTGGGAGCTGGCCCGTGCCCTGCTCGGCCTGCTGAGCCTCCAGCGCCCTGCACCCCGTCGCCTCGAACCCCAGGCCGAAGAGAGTGGCAGCGGCGGCGGGGCCCGCAGGTGTCTCGGTGGGGGCTGCGGGGCACCTGAGGAGGAGGAGGAGGCTACAGTGGAGCGGCGGCCGGCAGGGGAGGGTGGGGAGGTGGGGGACAGGCCTCAGGAGGGCAAGGAGGAAGAGGAGGAGGAGGAGGAGGAGGAGGAGGAGGAAGATGACGAGGACGAGGGCGAGGAGAACGGCCTCCTGGACTGTGGGCTCCGGCTGAAGAAGGTCAGCTTTGCTGAGCGAGGTGCTGGGCGGCGGCGGCCTGGCCCGGAGGCCCTCCTGGAGGAGGGGAGCCCCACTATGGTGGAGAAGGGGCTGGAGCCGGGAGTATTCACGCTGGCCGAAGAAGACGATGAGGCCGAAGGGGCTCCCGGCAGTCCTGAGCGGGAGCCTCCGGCCGTCCTGCTCCGCCGGGCTGGGGGCGAGGGCCGTGACCAGGGGCCAGATGGGGGCCCGGACCCAGAGCCTGGTTCAGGTGACTCGGGCCGGAGGCAGCGGCGGCAGAATCGGTCGTCTTGGATTGACCCACCCGAGGAGGAGCACTCACCCCAACTCACCCAGGCCGAGCTTGAGAGCTGTATGAAGAAGTACGAGGTAAGGAGGGCGTCTGAGGCCCAAGGCCAGGCCCTCAGCAGGGCAGGGCATGCGGCCTCAGGGTGGAGGTAGGGGGCGTGATGAAATGGGGCCCTGGATGTGGTTGGGAACTTGCTGGACGGGGAGCTCTGGGTCCATCCAGGAGAATTGGAGGGTGGGAGGTGGCCTTGAGAGAAGAAGGTAGTCGAAGGTCGGAGGCATCCGGGTCTGAGGGAGGGGACCCAAGGCCACACCCGGGCACCCGTCTGCAGGACACCTTCCAGGACTACCAGGAGATGTTCGTGCAGTTCGGCTACGTTGTCCTCTTCTCGTCTGCCTTCCCCCTGGCTGCTCTGTGCGCCCTGGTCAACAACCTCATCGAGATCCGGAGCGACGCCCTCAAGCTGTGCACGGGGCTGCAGCGGCCCTTCGGGCAGCGGGTTGAGAGCATCGGCCAGTGGCAGGTGTGGGGAGCGGCCGAGGACTCGGAGTCGAGGCCCGGAGGGAGTCTGGGTGCGCTGGGGAGGGGCAGGAGGCCCAGGAAGGGTGACCGGACCCCACCTGAGCCCACCCCTGCCATGTTCCCCTGCAGAAGGTGATGGAGGCCATGGGCGTCCTGGCCATCGTGGTCAACTGCTACCTAATCGGCCAGTGTGGGCAGCTGCAGCGCCTCTTCCCCTGGCTCAGCCCTGAGGCGGCCATTGTGTCTGTGGTGGTGCTCGAGGTGGGGCCTGTGGCTGCATGGGGGAGCTGGGGGGCGGCAGGGCGTCCCCGAGCCTGCAGCCTCCTCCTCTGTCGCCTCAGCACTTCGCCCTGCTCCTCAAGTACCTCATCCATGTGGCCATCCCCGACATCCCAGGCTGGGTGGCTGAGGAGATGGCCAAGCTTGAGTACCAGCGCCGGGAGGCCTTCAAGGTATGGGGCCGGGGCGGGGGGCGGGGGGGGCCGCGGGGGCGGGGCCCGGGCTCCGTTGCTACCTGCACTCGGCGGGGCTTCTCAGCCTCGGCCTCGGCCCGCAGCCAGCTGAGCAGGAGGGAAAGAGGTGGGAGCCCAGGGTAACGATGAGCGCGCTGCCCAGGCCGCTCCCTCCCAGAACCCCCGGTGGCATCCAGTACCAGCCTGGCACTTGTGAACCTTTAGTCATCGCCAGCTCACCAGCAGTGTCCTGTTTGGGGCCAGGGACACGGCGGATGCTTCCTAGAAGCCCAGCTTCTGCCACATTCCCCAGAAAGCTGCCGAGTGGGCCAAGGAGCTCACCAGGGCCAGGCGACGCTCTCCGTGATGATGGAAACATTCTGTGCCCCGTGTGATCCCTCACTATGGGGGGCCGACGGGCACTTGATGTGGGGCTGGTACAACCGAGAGACAGAATTCTTATTTTGTTTTATTTTAATCACTTAAATTGGCATTGACAAAGACACATGTGGCTCCGGTCTGTGTCAGTCGTGACTCTGTCCCTGGGTCTCCAGAAAGCAGAGGACGGTTGAGGCCCAAGCTGTGTTTACGTTCTCCCAGTTCTTAAGACGGTGCCTGGCACATGGCTGGGGACAGCGTCGAGGGCCCGTAATGTCCGTTCCCTTCTCAATTCTCAGAAAGCGCTGGCATGGATCCAGGATTGCAGTTGGTGCCTAATAAGTGGTTAGATCTCTCCCTACTTCCTCAGAGAGCCCCGGGGTGGGTCCAGGGGTGCAGCGGGTGCCCAGGAAGTGTTGGGAGCTCTCCCCACTCCCGCAGAGAGCACCCGTGAGGGCCTGGGGCCTCAGCCGGCACCTGCCCACACCGCCCGTCTGCCCAGTCCCGGTAATGGCTCTGTTGCGCCCGCAGAGACATGAACGCCAGGCCCAGCACCACTACCAGCAGCAGCAGCGGCGGCGGCGGGAGGAGGAGGAGCGCCAGCGCCACGCGGAGCACCACGCCCGGCGAGAGCGCGATGCCAGCGGCCGGGAGGAGGCTCGGGCCGAAGGCTCAGGGCTGGACCCCGCTGCCCCTGAGAAGGCCTCCGCCAAGGCCAAGGGCAGTGGGGCAGGTGGCCACGGGCAAGAGCGGCCCAAGCGCCCGGGGTCCTTGCTGGCGCCCAACAACGTCATGAAGCTGAAGCAGATCATCCCGCTGCAGGGCAAGTTCCTGTCGTCTGGGGCTGCATCTTCATTGGCCAGCGCGGGGGCTGGCCCTGCCGCCCGGCCACCCCCTGCCCAGTCACCCACGGGTAGCGACACCCGCCTGCCAGCCTTCCTCAGCTTCAAGTTCCTCAAGTCGCCTGAGACCCGGCGGGACCCAGAGCGCAGCCACTCACCGCCCAAGGCCTTCCACGCCGGCAAGCTCTTCCCTTTCGGCGGGGCCCGGGCTGACACCGGGGCCAACGGGGCAGGTGGGCAGGCCCGGCTGGACGGGACCCCCGGCGGTGGAGGAGGCCGAGGCCAGCGGAGTGGGCCGATGGACGAGGCCGCGGCTGAGGAGCCGGACGCCCCCCGGCCCGAAGAGGAAGGCTCAGGTCACAAGCTTTAACTCGGGGGTGGGGACTCTGGGCCGGGCTCGGCGGGAAGGGATGGGGTGGCCAGGCCTGGGGAGAGGGGCTGAAGGGGACAGAGGAGGCCCGGTCTCTGGTACCGGCTGGGAACCTGGGTATGTTGTACGTGGAGCCTCTCAGTCAAAGCCTGCTCAGTGTCTCCAGGACCCCGACAGCCAAAGCCCCCTGTCCTAGTGCCCCTCCCAGGGCACCCTGCCCACCGTGCTCTGGGGCCAGGAGAGATGAAGAAGGCTTCTTCGCCACCTGGCCCAGCCTCTCCTGCCCCTATGATAAGGCCCCACACCCAGCTCACTCTGGGGGGACTGGACCCCCCTCCCCCCAGGCCTCTATGCAAGTCCCCACCCTGCAGCCCAGCTGTTCAAGGAGGCCTTCCTTGGAGGTGGGGGCTGCAGCTGCCCCCACCTGGGGAGCTCGGGGTGCTCGGCCACAGGCTGCATCCACATCCATGCTGAGCAAGAGGTGCCAGCCTCACGGACCCCCACCCCCACCTTGCCAGTCCCAACCCCAGCCCAACCCAGCCCCAGGCTCCAGCAGCTCATCCCCCAGGGAGCCCAAGAGGTGGCAGCTGCAGCACCAGGGACGCAGGTCAGAAATCAGAGGGACTTCCTCAGATTGTCCTCTCCCCATGATGGGGAAGGGCCCAGTGCCCAGAGGCAGGGGAGGCACCAGAAGACGCCCACCCCTTGTCACTGATCAGAAGCAATAAGGCCCTCCGTGTGCCTGGAAGCCCGGGAGGGAGAGCGGGCAGGGTCTGAGCGGGGTCCGGCGGCAGGGGCGGCACCCCCCCGGAACGGCCCCTCTCGCCTCCGCAGGGACAGCGCTGGCCCCCGTGGGCGCCCCTGCCCTCCGCACCCACCGCAGCCGGAGCCCCGC